CCCCCCCAGACCCCCCCCTTCTGTCTCCTGTTCCTCCCTCCTCCCCAGCAATGGCCCTACCCCAGGGCTTCCCAGCCTGCCCGCTCCAGTTCAATCACCTCCTGGTGTCAGCGTCTGGGGGGGTCTCGCTCCCAGGCTGCAGCGCCCCAGAGCCCTGTGGCTCCTTCAACGGTTTTATTTGGGCGCCCGCTTCCTCGGGTGCGCGCAGGGGGAGCGTCCGTTTGGCAGGGGTACGTACCTGGGTGGGAACCAGCCATTCCCAGGGGCTGCTGGGACTCCGTCGGATCGTGTCCATTTTGCATCTGAAGGTCCCGCTCCATAGTTTCCCCCGAAGTCTGTTTTCGAAGGTTTTTTTTTTGGCCAGGCGGGCAACTTGCAAGTCTGTTACTGAGCAGGAGCCATCGCTGTAAGAAATTGGGGCAGGGCAAGGGGTTCCCAGCCGGCTTTGTCTACAAGACAGAGGTGATGCGGATTGGGGCCGGGCATGGCTGTTCCTGACGCATCCTCATTCCAGGACAAAAGCATTGTGGGTCTGTTTAACTTCTTCTGCCCAGAGGCTCCAACCGGGGTCGGGAAGGAATTTTCCTCCAGGGTAGATTGGCAGAGGCCCTGGAGGTTTTTCGCCTTCCTCTGTAGCATGGGGTACAGATCACAGCTGGAGGATTCTCTGCATCTTGGGGCCTTCAAGTATTTGAAGGCTTCAATATCTGAGATATAGGTGAGAGGATTATTCTAAGAGGGGTGGGTGAGATTCTGTGGCCTGCACTGTGCAGAGGGTCAGACTAGATGATCATAATGGTCCCTTCTGACCTTAAAGTCTATGAGCCCTATGTTGTTCAGACAAGCCCATGCCGAGCTTTCAGCCCCATGCCACCTCTGGTGGAGCTACTGCCTGGTATTGGGGAACCACTCATCTGTCTGGGGCACCAATGCGTCGCTCTACGTTGTAGCTTGCTGTTGGCCTAGGAGCCCTGATTTTTCAATGAGGATAGAGCAGCAGTAGCTCCCAAAAGACTAGAGTCCTCTTGTCTCTAACTGGCAAGTGTCTCCTCCTTGTATGAATGCAAATGGCTGTTTCCGTTCTGCTACACAGATCTATCTGACACCATGGCACCATCCAAGAAGAAAACAAACAATGGTACCAGCAAAAACAATGTGAAAAAGAAAAAGCTGGCTGCATTTTTAAAGGACTTTGACTGTGAAGGTAACCATTCCACTCATTCATAAAACTTGTTCTCTACAAAGACTTTAGGGCCCTGAGTTGTTTTCCAGGTTAATTTAATGCATGTGAAAGTTATTGTCTTGACAACCCTGGAGACTAACACCTCAGAAAACTGAAGTGTTGTACAGGCAGGACAGATACAGCAAAAAAGCTAGAGCTTTGATCCAGAAGGATGACTTTGAGGAGTTTAAGAATGGTTTAATTCTAGATGCTCATGCAAACCTTGCCCTTTCTTGAGCGTCTGTGGTCGGGGGAGACTTGTTGTAAAGAGTGTGCTGCATTGTTGCTGTAGGGCTATCAGGAATTAAACTAAAATAGGAACTACTTTTCAGAGGTCAGTGGCAGCTGACAAATATTAACCATTGGGTGGTTGTCAATAGGATGTATAGAGAGACAAGATACGTAAGATATCTCATATTGAGCCAATTTTTGTGGGTGAGAAACAAGTTTATGTAAAGTTGTTCTTCAAGTTAGGGGAAATGTACTCACAATGTCACAGCTAAATACTAGGTGAAACAAATTGTTTAGCATAAGTGATTAACACACATTTCAAGGGACCATTCAATGTGAAGTGGCCATTAATACCTCTCCAGTGAGTTATAGATTATTGTAATAAGCCGTAAATCCAATGTGTGTCTATTTAGTTCATGATTTTTAGTATCTAGCAAACTTATGAATTTAAGTTCCCAGGCTCTTCTTTTGTAGGTGTTGTACAGGTTACCTTTGAGGATGAGGTAAGAGAGGTCAGACATAGGCTGATTCCTCTGCGAAAAGTGTGTGCCCGGAGGGAAAACAGTATTTTTGACTCTTATTATGTTTTGGTGTGAGTTCATTTTAAGTACATAGTGTTTGTCTGGTTTCACTGTTTCAATGTTACTGTGACACATTTACTACCATTGGGCGAGATACATCACATAATGTGATAGACATGCTTACAAGCCATGGATTTTGAGGGGTGTGTCATTGCAGCACTGGAAATATGCTTACAGGTTTTTCTTTGTTGTGGCCGTGTCTGGTGCTGCTTTGAGTTAATGTCTTGGTCTGTGGAGGCCTTATTTCTGATGATGGGATTGGGGGATTGTTTAAAGGCCAGAAGAGGGTTCAGAAAAGAAATCTTTCAGGATATCCCCATCAAGTATGGGTTGTAATTGTTTAATGATATCCTTTATGGGTTGTAGTTAGGGATGTAAAATCCTGTTTAATTGGTTAATCAATTAAAGGGGAGCCGGGGAGTGGGGGCTGAGCTGGAGTGGCTCTCTTCCTGCAGCGTGCCTGGGCCCGCTGTGGACAGTGACTGCTCCGGAGTGCCCGTGTCCGTGGCGGGCCCTTGCGGGGCTATAACAGCTCCCCTGTCCATGCTTGGTGGGTAACTGCTCTAGCCCTGCACCTGTTAACCAGAACTGGTAAGCAATATCTGTTAAAGGTGATGCTTACTGATTAACCTTTCACATTCCTAGTTGCAATACAGGTGGTAGGTCACAATCTGTTCTACCTTTATGGAATTTTTCCATCAACCTAGCTAGTGCCTCTTGAAGCGGATTGCCTTCATTGATGGGTAAGGTAAAACCCTACTATTCCCTACTATTGGTATTAGGACTGTCTGTGCGAAGCACTGTAGACATACTTTTATGCATTTTAATTAACTCACTTGGGATGAATGAAATAGATTTGATCAGAAAAGCGTGTTCATAAGGGAATAGATTTTTGCTGATGTTCAGAGAAACATAAATTCAAGCCTTGATGTGTAAATCCTAAATAATATTTTTGTTCTATATATTTGTTAATCGTACCATTTTCTTTTTTTCGTTTAGTCCAAACTAGAATTGATCAGATACAAACAAATGGGCGAAGTCTTCTCAAGGAGTTGGATAATCTTTATAACATAGAAAACCTCAGACTTCCTCTAGCACTGAGAGAGATGAACTGGCTTGACTACTTTGGTATGGTCCATCCATTCCCATATGTGTTGACAACATAATTTTGAGCTGTAACTGAGTTATGAGTTAAATTTATTCAGTTAGTGGACTTTGTTTCCCTCCCTCCCGATTATTTGGGCCGAGAGAATTGCCAGCCTCCTGGGCAAGGTGGGAAGAGACTGCTTCCATGCTCCCAGAAGGGCAGAGCTGGGGCAGCCAGCCCTCAGAGTCACCTGGAGAGTGCTAGATGGTGCTCCAGCAGCGATTAAAAGGGCCCAGGACTCTGGCCACTGCTATGACAGCGGTGGCCTAGAGCCCCAGTCCCTTTTGAATTGCTGGCTCCCGGGGCAACTGCTCCCTTCTTCCCATCCCCACCCTGTAGCAGGCCTGCATACAATGAATACGTAAACATAATTACTATTGATATTGTCATTGTTATCTATAATTACGTTATTTCTTTTATAATACATTGCATTTAAAGTCAGTATATTAGATACATTTATTTGTATGAAAGTGCTAAATCAAAATAAGACTTCACAAGTTTTTCCTTTGTATATCTTAAAGTCACTGGTACATGAGCCAATGTAAAGTGTGACACTGGATTAACTAGGTGTACAATCATGTGCTTAAAAATCTTTGGAAATAAGAAGAGGCAAATTGAATACCCTGTCCATATGGATTCATAAACAACCACAGATTTGTGGTTTAAGATAACTCTTGCTTTCATACTAGTTTCTTTAGCTTAAGCTAGTCATTAACTGTCAAGAAATGCTCATTGTTTGGTTGTTTAATTCTATGCAAGTATAAATTTTTAATATTGCATAAATTACTCTGGTTATTCATTAATTTAAAAAATTCCGTCTCCAGCTAAAGGAGGAAGTAAAAAGGCCCTAGAAGAAGCAGCAACGGTAGGTAACGTATATCCAGTGTAGCAACTAAGCCAAATAATAGGAATTTATTTTTTAGTGCTATTGTATAATGTATTTAGGAGCTAGGGATGTCAAGAGAGAGGTAATTTGACTACACAATTAGTCAAAAAGGGAAAGTTGTCTGTCCTGGCTCATGCTGATACAGGAGCTACCCCCATTGTGGCTTTGTGATCTAAAGATAGTAAGAGCTGGGCGTGCTCTTACTACATTTCAAATGCAGAGCCGCAGTGGTGGTAGTTCATGGTTGCAGCGTGAGCTGGGAACGAAGAGTCCCGGCTTCTGCCGGGTCTGGGACAGCTGCAGCTCTGCATTTTAAATTAGTAAGAGCCACTTGAATCTTACTACGTTTAAAATGCAGAGGTGCAGTGATCCCGGGCCAGCGTGAGCCGGGACTGCTCAGTCTGACTCCCACTGTGCCCAGCAGCCCCTGTTCAAGGTGGCCCAGGATGACAGTGCAGGGGGAGGCAGTGCTGAGGGGAACCAGCTCCCCCCAGCATTGGTTCCTGTTCCCCCTTCTCTCCGCTGCCTCTGATATAGAGGCAGCAAGGGCGGGGGAGCGAGTAGTCGAGGACTCGACTCAGTTACCCAATAAGCTTAGGTTTGTCGGGTAGTCGTGTACTCAACTACTCACTTACTTCCCATTTAGTAACCCAATCTTTATTTTAAATCATTGATTCATTTTAAGACTCTTATTACAGCACTTTGTGAAAGGAATAAATAAGACACTAAATATTTGTAGTCTATCCAAAGTGCTAGCTTTCTCCTTCAATTACTTGGTTTATGTTAAATCATGCCACTCCTTTCTACAAAATACATCTCTAGTCTCCTTTGCAGAGCATTTTAGTGACCATTGTAACTCACTTCATTGTTATGGATGCCATCTAATACAGATTTCTCTAGAAACTTTACTGAGGCCAGGATTACACTCAAAAGTTTGGTCATCTCAGCTGCATCACTCAGGGATGTGAAAAGACCACACCCCCGAGCCACATAGTTAAGGTGACCTAAGCTCCAGTATAAACAGCCCTTGGTTTATGGAAGAATTTTTCCATCAACCTTGCTGCTGCCTGTTGGAGATATGGATTAACTATGCTTATGGGAGAACTCCTCCCTTTCCTGTAGTGAGTGTCTATAGGGAAGTTGTATGGTGGCTCATCTGCATCGTTTCAAGTGTAGAAAAGCCCTGAGTCTCAAGCGTTTTGTAGCTGGGAGACTTGTTCCTGAATCCTGTAACTATCTCTTACTTAGAGGCTTTTCAAGTTTCAGAAAACTTGCCTTGTAATTCAAACTGGTTCTCTGCAGTTGATAGCAGGTGCCTGATTTTGATTTTTAAAGATGTGGAAAATAGCAAGTGTCCTGAGATCCTTTCTGTCATGGCACATAGCTAAAAGTTTTCAATTTTAAATCTTTTTATAGGAAGCCATTTTCTGCAATGGAATCTTGGCTTGCCTGCCAGTGATGCTAATTGACTAAACAAATGTTAAAACAGTGTTTCCTTACTGTTACCGTGCCCTCTTTCCCAGATAATATGCATTTCTTTGAAAACCAGAAAGCTAAATAGAGATTGGACTGAAATGTTTTGGGATTAGGAATAGAGGTAGCACCTGAATAAAGCCCTTCAGTGCTTAATGATGGGCAGGTCTTGCAAGCTATTACCATTTCTAAAATACTGGGGAAGCATGAACACAGAAAAGTGCAAAGCAGCATGGAGACGTTTTTATTGTAAAGTAATGGTTTTACACTGCTGTTTGTAGGCATTTAGGATGAAATAGTTCTTTACTAATACACATGGTATTTTGGTTTTAGGCAGATTTGGAGCTATCAGAAATAAGCAAACTAACAGCAGAAGTTATCCAGACACCTTTGAGACTTGTCAAGAAAGGTCAGTTTGCTGAGAAGCATTAATGAATGCAATCAATAGTTGAATTATTTTGTTCCTTTAAGAAACAGCTGTTACCTCACTCTGATGTTACATCTGGACAATATTAGCTTAGATTTGCTAACCCTTACAGAAGTGTTATTCACAGTGTTAATAGAGATTGGACTGAAATGTTTTGGGATTAGGAATAGAGGTAGCACCTGTCTTTCATAAACCTCTTTCTTTATAAAATCCTAATTTATCTCTCTCTATGAGTAAATAACTTGTTTCCCAAACTTCATGACTCCTTTCTTTTCAATATGCTTTAATTTTTTTCAATTTGGACACTATTTTTTCCTTCTAGCTGAAAAATCCAAACAGGATATTGATGCCATTGAAGAAGAAACAGAACTAAAATTGCTTCCTGTGGCAAAGAAGAGCAAACAGGATAGCAAAGCCCTTGAAGAATCAGAATTAGAACATGAAAATGTTAATCCCAAAACAGGGAAGGTAAATAATTGATTTTATTGGAGTCATGGCCCGGGCAAGAAGTTAGTTGACTGTTGCTCAAGGTGTTGCTTATATGTTTACTTGTCATAGGCTGGCTATCCATTTTAATCAGCTTTATAGGTTTATATAATCTTTGTATTTTAAATTTGCAAAATATAACTTTACAACTAGTTTTGCTTTTCATTTGCAAAAGCTCTCTGTACAGTGTCTTTCGCCGTTTCCCCTCTATACTTTACAGTCAATTTCTCTAGTTTGTTTCTGTGTGAAAGACCATACGTTAGGGAGAGAATTTATTTTAAAAGTGGGAAATGTGTAAAATCACAAACTCAGGGACTGAGGGTATTTTTATATATTTTGTCTCTTCAAACCTTCAATGAGAAACTGTAGTTTCCCTCTTTGCTTCATGGCCTTAATTCGATTTTTCATGAGATCGGAATCCCCATAATAATATATGCATGCCTTAGACTCCATTATGATGTAAAACACACAACCCAATCAAAAGTTTAAAGAAACATTGTATATTCCTTTTCTCTTAAATTGTATGTTCAACCTCCATCATGTTCTGGGAGCAGGAGTCTCTTTACCCAAGACTGATCTAACTAACTATTTGAACTTTGATATCTATGGAAAAGAATTCTACACAAATCCCCATATCTTCCCCAGCTCAGCTATAGTCTATAATAGAGCCAAGACTCTAAAAGGAAAGGTTTTCCACCTTTTTGAACACCTGATAAGAACAGTGAGTCCTGTTCTTCGGTTCTGGTTATCAGCTAGGGATGGAAAGGGTTAGCCTTTCTTGACAGATAACCATGAGCCTTGCCAGGCTGGAGCAGCCTGCAGTAAGGTGCAGCGAGCCCAGCCTGGCACAATTGAAGCAACCTGTGGTGCGGTGGGCCCAGTTGGACTGGAGCAGCCCTTGCGTGATGTGGCGAGTCCTCATCCACAGCCTGGGCAGGGGACTGCTCCAGGGTTAACCAGTTAAACCTAGCATCTAACTGGTTAACATTTTAAATTATAACGCTGGTAATAGGGAGGTTAATTATGTCAGTTGTGGGAACACTTCAGAACTTGATGTGAGTTGTTTATTGATCATGAATTAGTAAATCATTTTCTGAGTTCTGTGTGTTCCAGATGAAGACATCAACCAAAAAGGTGGCAGTTTCTAAAAGCAGAAGACCTCCATCAGCGAGAGTGAAACGCATTAGCAAAAGGTAAATTCTGGAGTGGTATGAATCCTTCTTTGTGGGGATGGAAAGGGGAGCCCAGAAATGATACTTCCAAAGTCCATCCCAACCCAACCATGGCTAAAGAGTAGAAAGTGACCTCCCTGACAAGGCATACTGTGTTAGAGTAGCTAACAAAAATATGGCAGCGGTACATGGAGGAGCTTTTCAGAAGGCAGTCTCCAGTTTGGTAACATGGTGTAGTGACAGACCAGCTGTTCAATATGAGGGTGTGTGGGATTTTACAAGCTGTCCTAAAGCTTCAATCTTTGCTGCCAGGTCAAGAGGCATTACCTGAAATCAGGAGAAACCTCTAATTTTCAGATACCCTAATATCATTCTCAGCTTTTCTAGTTAAGAAAAGTCAGTACTAAGAAACAGTTGCTAAAATAATCTTTTCAAAGGGCATCACCTTATCGCTTCCACTCTCTTTAAACAGGTCAAGCAAAAATAACTTTGTCACTCCCGCCCTTGGCCGTGTCACTGATGCCTGCACACGGGGATGGACCTCCACTGTCACCCCCAAGTTTGATTCCCGGTGAGGGTGAATTGATTAGCGAAGTTATGTAACTGTTTGTTATAGTGTCCTGCAAAATGTTTCTATGAAATATAAACATTGCCCAAGTGTCAAGGTATCTAATGTTGTGCTATTAGTCTTGCATGAAATAAGACAAAACGGTTGTAATTCTGTCCTGTGACAGTGGCTATTCATATCTAATCCATGTTATGAGAGCCATAATACTGTATAACAGTTCATACATTCAAAGTGCTGCAGAAATATTTACTAGCCTTCTCAACCCTGAAAAACTAAGTGTAACTGAGGTATAGAGGTGAGACTATTTGACTTAGAATACTAGGCTGGTAGAGACCTCAGGAGATCATCGAGTTCAGCCCCCTGCCCAAAGCAGGACCAATCCCAACTATATCATCCAAGCCATGGCTTTGTCAAGCTGAGACTTAAAAACCTCTAGGGATGGAGATTTCACTGCCTCCCTAGGTAACCTATTCCAATACTTCACCACCCTCCTAGTGAAATAGTTTTTCCCAATATCCAACTTCTCTAGTCTGGCACCCTTGGGACCTGACCAGAATTTGCCAAACCACGGGAGGTCAATATTATCTAGCAGAACGGTGAGGGGATAATTTTTGTTGGGGGGTGGTCACTCCAAGAATTTGGAAAGTGGTCAAGAGCTGCATTTTTCTGTGATATTAGTGGAGGAGGTGCGGGGTCTGGGATGGAGTTTGGATGCAGAAGGGAGTTTGGGAGTGGGATCTGGGAGGGTAGGTTGGGTGAAGGAGATACACCTGGAGCAGGGGACTGGGTGCAGGGAGAACGTGCAGGTGTTTGGGTTGTGACCTAGGGCAGGGAAGCAGGATGCAGGAGGAGGTTTAGGGGTTTCGGTTGTGACCTGGGGCAGAGGATTGTGGTGCAGGGTCTGGGAGGGGATATGGGGGCAGAGGGTTTGGGTTATGTTGAGTAGAGAGGCAGGAGTGGGGAACAGAGAGTTGGGGAGGGTACTGGGGTGCTAGAGGCAGGTTCTGGTTAGAAGACTTGCGCAACACCCAATAAGCAGGTTTTTCATGCAGGCTCCCTGATTTCCCTGCCCTGCCCCTGCATGGGCTTCAGGGGCCTTGTGCATCTGTAAATTGCTGCAAGTCTGAAAGGAGGGGGAGAGCTTCAAACAAGCAGCTCCCATTTTCTGGAAACTGGGCAATGGGATTGTGCTGAGAGCAGGGGCAGCGTGTGAAGCCTCTGCCACCCTCCCCAAGGCTTGCAGCTGTTCAAAGACAAAACGTCCCCACAGCTGCTTTTCTGGGAGGGGAGGGAGAGGGGGGAGACAGACAGGTGGCCTACCTGAGTCTCCCTGCTGCAGCTGGGGCCAGATCTGGTGGTTTGGTGTGCTGGATTTGGCCCATAGGCCATATTTTGCCCAGCCCTGGTCTAGGAGCATTACCAATGCTTCCACTGCTTACTGGGCTCTTAGAAGACATTTGGGGATCAATTAAAGCTAAATAATAGCACAGAACACTGAGAGCCGGGACTGGTGCCTGTAAACAAAGTTTATGGGACCGTGGTAATCATGACCACACCTGTGATAAGTAGACATCCGGCTAACTAAAATCATACTGGACCATGGATGTTGCCAGACCAGAGAGCACTGGACTAGAGAGGTTTAATTTGTACAATTAATAGGCTATTACTAGCAGAGCTAGGGTTAGAATATGAGACTGTGATTCCATATTCATTTGTACATGGCTTACTGTGCTCAGCCTTGTACTCTGCAATCAGCAAAGCTGTAATCTATTTGAATCATCTCCATATGGTATCTTCTCCTTTTCCTATGGTTCAAAAACGTGCTTCTGATACATGAGAACATCTAACTGGTATGTAACTTATCTCTTAAACAGTCTGGCTGTGTCTAGACTGGCAAGTTTTTCTGCAAAATCATTTGATTTTGCGGAAAAACTTGCCAGCTGTCTACAATGGCCGCTTGAATTTCCGGAAAAGCACTGACGATCTCATGTAAAATCATCAGTGCTTTTCCGAAAATACTATGCTGCTCCTGTTCGGGCAAAAGTCTTTTTCCGAAAGACTTTTGCGCAAAAGGGCCAGTGTAGACAGCATAGTACTGTTTTCTGCAAAAAAGCCCCGATCGCGAAAATGGCGATAGGGGCTTTTTTGCAGAAAACCGCGTCTAGATTGGCCACGGACACTTTTCCGCAAAAAGTGCTTTGCGGAAAAGCATCCTGCCAATCTAGACACGATTTTTCCGAAAATGCTTTTAACGGAAAACTTTTCCGTTAAAAGCATTTCCGGGAAATCATGTCAGTGTAGACGTAGCCTCTATGTACCTGATGAGAGGAGGATAGCTGAATTTTTAAAAAGCCCCTGAGGCAATCCTGGCATTCTAAAAAGCCTAACTTTAGCAATAGACAAATTGATTGAAACTATAGTAAAGAACAAATCTACTATACATTTGAGAAAGGGATATAAAATACGGTTTAAAATGTTAACTGCTTAAACTACTGGTATATGTTTAACAGGCCTGGTGCAGTAGGCCCAGCTGGGCTGTAGCGAGCCATTGCCCATGGCGTGAGCCGGGGCACTGCTCTGGCTGGGTTGGGCGCTGGAGTAAGGGAACAGCTTTATGGTAGGAATGTAAATAATTGTTTAATTAGTTAACCAGTTAATTACATTTTTAAACAGTTCCCTGCCTGCTGAGCCTGGGCCGCTCGGGCAGAGCTGGAGTGGCGGGTACTGGAGGCCTGCTCAGGCCAAGTTGGACCAGTTTGGGCTAAGGCATGGCCAGGACTCCCACCTCACCGCCCAATGTGGCTGGGTTTCCATCGGAGCCTCCCCATCCTGCGCAGCAGGCTACTTATACTTTAAGCTGTTCCTGCCAGATAAGCTAATGCTTATCAATTAACCACTTAAATAGTTAAATTTTCACATCCCTACTTTGTGGCCCCAGATTTTTGGCCTGAGTTTCTGTAGTCTTAGAGCCAGAAGCCTGTGATCCCAGTGAATAGGGTAGATGGAGGTCATAAAAAGAAAAAAAGAGAATAAACAAATACTTCTACATCCTGTAGCTCTGGACTCATTCTTTTAGATGAACCTTACACCAGGGCTACTCAATACGTGGCCTGTATGTTTGTGGCCCGTAGTGTGGTTTGGGGTACACGGGGCTCTACGCACAGCCCACAGGTGGGATCCTTTGAACATGGTCTCCCTGGGGAACACGCTCCACAACTGTGAGGCATCTCCAGGTGGGGTGAGCACTGAAAGATGCAAACGGATGGACTGGCTAGAACAGTGTGTCTGTGTTTCTAGTCCCCAGGGAGGAGGTGCCGTGGGAGCACCAGGGCATTGTGAGAAGTGCTTTGTATTCATTCCCGCCAGCATGAAAGAAGCTATTTGCATGTATATGCAACCACACTTAAGTTGCGGCCCTCGGCATGTGCTGGGAGTATTATTGTGGCCCCTGGGGCTTCCAAAGTTGAGTAGCCCTGCCTTGCACAATGGCCACACTTTCTTCTTTCTCAGATGTTTAATGTAAGGATTGAGTGCACCCACCCTCCTAATGGAAATATGTGGTCATTGGTTATACATTCTGAAATGGAGACTAGAATCCTGGTGAGATCTTCTAGCGCTTTCATTGCAGCTAAGTGGATAAGAAATGATTCGTTTAAATCATATCCTAGTTTAATCAGAGTGTTTTTGTCAGTACATTTGCTTTTTGACAAGCTCTATTGGTTTCATGCTTCAAGTTACACATTTTTCTCCACTCTTCTGTTTCCTTTGAAAATGAGATATTTGAAATCTCTAGCTGGGGAGAATCTCATGAACTGTACTTTGAACCATTTTAATGAGCTGCGGTAAAGTTATTCAGCAGTAACTTTGGCATGTCTTTCAGGCTTTTCAAGACACCAGGTCTTCGCACCCCTGCAGCACGTGAACATGTTTATATCGTTTCTGCAAACGGCAGCCCTCTTGCTAACAGCAATGACGTCATTATTACAGTCCCTGTTGGAGATGGGGAGGTAAATAGAAAGCTATTACAAATATAGGGAGATATTTGAATGGGTTTTGAAGTGCACCAGATGTAATTTAAAATAATGACTGGTAGCAAAATATGCCATAATGCAATGCAGCAAAGGCGTAAGATGAGTTTGTGGTCTCATGCAGCATCTGGTCCTATACTGGTAACTAGGGATGTGATGGTGTAAACAGATAATCCAATGAGCCTGGGCTCATTGGTTAACCTTCGTGGTTACATGCAACTTCCTCTACCCCGTGCTGCTGCCTCTGTATTAGAGGCAACAGGGGTGGGGGCAGGCAAGAGCCGGTGCTCACTGAACATTTCAGTGGTTACATGTTTACCAAAATACAGCTGATCCCTGACTTACGAACGAGTTATGGACCAAACATTTGGTCGTAACTTGAAGTGTTCATAAGTCGGACCCCATTCATTTACATGCGACCGAACTGTTCGTAAGCGTGGATCGCGTTCGTAACTCGGGGACCGCCTTTACGACCATTTAATGGGGGAAGTTTGGTCGTAAGTATGAATGGTCATAAATCGACCATTTGTAACTTGAAGACTGTCTGTAAACACATTTTAACATCTCTACTGGTAACTAGTCCTGTTTTATCAGTAACCCTATGCTGGTCACCAACCAGTGGGTTCATCACTTTCTAGAAAAGCGGTATATAGTTCCCTATTCATAAATGTAGCAGTTTATCAGTCTTGCTAATAGATAATCCAGCTACTTCCATCTTGTTAGTATCTTTCACTGATTCCACATACAAACTAATATGTACCAGTCTGACTCAGCGGAACAGTAAGTGAGACTTGTGGTCTTTTCTGTACAGAACATTCGTTTAGCAGCTAGTGAGCTGACCAGAACAAATTTGAGTCATCTTAATGCAGAGACCCTGGGAATTATGAAGAAGTTATCAGTAAGTCATTATATACTTGGCTATGAATCGAAACTGGTCTTTTGTGGTGCTAGCATTGTCGTTTTCCCTGTCATTAAGTTAATGGGCCATTGGGTTTCATTAGACTACCACTCATCTTTCATCTTAAATTCTTTTCCTCATGGGTCTGCTTTGCTGGTCAGGGAAATATGCAAACTTGGGTCTTACGTTCAACTGGGCCCATCCTATGTACAAACAGTGCTTTCATTGGTGGGAGAGACTAGTGGTAATGTTTAGGGTTTAATTCAAGGGTGAACATGCCTTCCATTTTTACCAGTGTTGGTGGCTTTAGGATATGGAAGCTTGATTTCTTTACAACTGCTGTTTGTTAAATCTTTCTCCTTTTTAGGTTCGTCTTGCACAAGCATGCAGCAGCACAAAGACCTAAAGATGAAACTTCAAGGATATTGACTTTCTTTATAAATCTGGAACATTAATTTTAGAACTGCAACCTGAATTTTTACTCTATTTTTTACCTTTCTATCACGGTGGAAGTTAGGAACAGGTTTTCCATCTGCAATATATACTATGATTAGAATAGGTTGACTTCTTTTTGTACAGAAAAAAGTACTTAGTTTTCTGTTTCGAGATAGCTGTACCTTGGCCATGGATCCTCCAGGGTATGAGAGAGGCAAGTCAGGTGGATACAGCTTTCCTGGCCATCTGCTGAAGATGGAAGCAGTGGGACCTGTTGGATTACAGTTGTGATTGACAAAAGTTGTATCTGGTTTGGGAGCAAAAGCGGTGGAGCTGCTCATTGCACTTATTACCAGGCAAGTCTTCTGTTTGTCAATGTTGTCCTTGCAAGGCACTAGTGAGTTGTATTCTAATAGCTGGACTATGAATCTCTATTACACATCATTAATAAGAAGGTGGTAAATGAAAGCTTAGTTGCAAACAAGCTAATGAAGCTGCCAACATGATAGGGGTACAATGAATCTTTTGTTCTTCTCACAGCAGCCAGTGAACGTAATCCTGCTGTCCTGTTTACAGTGAACAATGTACTTGAAGTCTTTTATTGTACATCCTACATTTGTTTTTAAAGCAATGAATACACTGGTGTGTTCTTAAATCCATAATTGTACTGAGTTTTAAAACTTCTCTCTACCAAAACAGTCATCTAGACCTGCGAACTCCTTGGGTACATACACTTACTGGGGCAAGTCCCTTTCAGATTGCTGGAGGACAGTCTTCTGCACACAGGAACACTGCTGTCTTCTGCACCAGCACCTAGGGAGGAGACTGGGATGGGGCAGAGCCAAGTTCACTGTGTCTGGGTCTCCACTGGGATGATCCCTGCATTCTTTTAATGAACTAAAAAAGTGTTACATGATAAATACCATTTACAGATGGAATAAAATTAGTTACATATTCATTGACTTTTACTGTTTTAGAAAATTTCTGCTTTGCTTAATAGTGCATGGACAGCACTGAAGCATTAGAATGGTCCATGCCCAGTATTTCTGTGCTGGAAAAGCCTGAGGCCCTTCATAACTTCTGTGTAGGAATCCTTTGGGTGAACCCTGGCCTGGAACATCAGCTGTTCTGCTCAGGACCATTGTACACACAGTTTGCACAGTTCTGCAGAGTAGCTTTAAGAAGCCAGAATAAAAGTTCAGAAAGCTGGACTTTGCAACAAGATGTAACACCCTGTCTCTTTCCAAAGCAGAACATGATCACCAAGCTCTCTGGGTTTCTGTTCTGGGCTTCATTCCAGAACTTCTCCACCCTCTTTTCCTCTAATGCCTGTTCTTCCATACTGTCTCTGAGCCTCTTAGTCTGAAGTCCAAATACATTATAAACTAAGGCAAAACTGGAATAGGCAGGTCTCAACAATAAGATGCATGCCCTTTTCCTATTCTGTCCCAGCATATAATTCTAGTGACACTGTTAATATATAGCATGTGGCTCTACTTCTCATTATGCTTTACAGAAGGTAATTATTGTCCTGTTGTTAAGAAAAGGAATGGGACTATCTGGAAAAAAATCACGGAAAGTTCACTTGAACTTTTTTGAAGGAGAATTTTCATTTTTAGATTTAATTTTAATTCCAAACTTTTGTGTGTTCCCCTTTCCAGTCTCCTTTCTGCTTTTGTTCTCCACTGAGTAAAATAGAACAACAGACTAGGGTTTGTCTTTTCACATATTTCTTTATCTGCTGTAATTTTTCAAATCCTTTCCAATTGTGGAAGAGTTGAATTGCAAAAGGAAACATAACATTGAAACTCTGCTGCTCTGTATTTTTCCCAAATTCCCTTAACTTCAGAGAAGTTAGAATGGCAGACCTCTTCGGAGCTGAGGAAATTTTGAAATGCTAGCGTGGCAGAGTTACTGGCTGTTGTAACAAAGAGGGAAAGACAATGAAGGGCTAGCCTTGGCATCTATTTGCATATCTCGCAACATGCAGAGTTTGGAAGAAAGGCTGGATTTTTTGTGTAGCTTTTGATGGTGATCACCATAGTGCAAGAGTTTGAAGGGGAAATTTCCGAATTGAGAAGCCACATCCCTGTCTTGAATGGACAGTTTGCCCTGCGCCTTTTCATCCTGCATGTGATACTTTCTGTGCAGTTGTGAAGCAGTTGGATTCAAGGGGGTGACATCAATTTGAAATTCGTAACTTTTTCATTTTTTAGGAGACTGCAAAATCTGCACAAAGGGAAGGTTGAAGATGGTCAACCAGTTGCGTAATATCAGTGAGCTGGAAAAAAATAGGAAAAATACTTGGGCTGCCCCATTATAGTAATGTTATTACTTAAGCCAATCACAGTTGCAGATATGTAGGCAAGAATATGATTTTGGGTTTCAGGTTGACATATAGCCCACATAGTTATATGGAAGGACTGCTACTTCTGAAAGAGTAATGCTTGTACAGTCCCTGCTCCAGGAAGAATAACCTGACCTCAAAGATTAAAAAATGATAGCAGAGGAGTGCATGGTCTCTCTCTGCGGGTAGTCAGCAATTCATAGCCTTTCTACTTGCAGTCCACAGTGAAAAATATTTTAATGCAAAGTCTGATGGTGATGATTAGAAAGTAGCTACTCATGTCAGAGTGTAGTGCAAGCACTGAGTGCGAACAGTTAGTTCCCTTCAACTGGAGGTACGGTTGCATCGGTATCCGCTAACACAGCGAGTCCACAGGCAATATCCAGGGCAGATTTTGTACAGCTTGTGCTACCGTGTTCACTTCTTGTCACGCTCGCTAGATTAAAGGTAGCACATGTATACTTAACCCAGCTGCAGTCACACCTCAGATATCAGTGTAGACAAACTGTAAATCATGGAGCTCAGTTATTCTACACCTGGATGGTTTTGGCAGGCTTCTCTAAATCCTAACAGCAGGTGGCACTGCTTGCAAATTATGAAGCCTCAGGCCTTTGTCTCAACTTTACTGCCTTTGCAGAATTCCACTGACACGTAAATATGAAAATGATAATGCTGGCTTGGAATCTAAATGCCGTGTAAATGCAGCAGTTTGGAATACAGAAGTCAAAGTCAAAAACCTGCATTAAGTATGTTTTCACCTTTTGGTGGTTCTCCATCTAAAGGAAAATTTATCTAGTGCAGATCGAACATTTCCTTTATTCCTCTGGTTTCTATGGTGGCTCCTTATCAAAAACTTGACTTAGTTCAACATCCTGATCCTAGTTTTCAAAGCCCTATTTTCAAGCCCTGCAAATCTGTGGGCCATGCTTGCAGATAGTGGATCAAATGTGTGTGTATCCATGCAGCGTTCTACCTACTTTGGCTTGTGCCTAATTTCTTTACAATCCTCAGTCTGTATGTCCCCGACCAGTGAGCTGAACTGCCATGGCTAATCAACCCAAGGATCAAATGTTTGGGAGCCAGATCATGGCACTTTAGTGGAAGGAGAGATCTCACAGTGCAAGACTTAGCTTTGTGCATGCCTTTCCCCAGTCATGGCCCTTGTAGAATGTATAGTAATTCCTCATTTAACACTATAGGTAAGTTTTAGAAAATGATCGTGTTAAGTGAAAACGTGTTATGCGGGGTCAATTTTCCCATTGAAAATAATGGAAAAGGTGTGGTGTCTGCTTTTCAAGCAGTGGTGTCTGTTGGGACCGGGACATAAGGTTGGGGAAGAAAGGGACTGGGTTACAGCAGGGAGGGGAGTTATTTGGCTCTGGGGAAGGGAAGGGGAGGAGAATTGGGTTGGGATTATGCCCCTATGATGGGTCTGCTGGGACCCGCACTGCGTCTGGCGAAGGGGAGTCACCGGGGAATGGCACAGCGAGCCGCGAACCCTCCACCGCTTTGCAGGGAGGTGGGGGAAGCCCTGCGCAGCTGCCAGCAAGAGGCCGGCTGGGGAAATTGTTATTCCAGGGATGGTTGTGTAATTCAAAAAACGTTCCCTAAAAGAAAAATCGTGCTATCGTGAAAACATGTTAAGCGGGCACGTGTTAAATGAGGAATTACTATACTCTGAAGCCAGAACAAATGACAAGATGTGGATGACATGGTGCTTTTCACTCTGGATTGTCAGTTTAACTAAGTAATTGCATTGAGCCCAGGGGCTATGGAGAGGAGCCCATAGATGAGAGGCACAAATCAGACTTTTAAAGAAGGCAGAGTTGGTCCTGCTTTGCCTCTGTACTGAATGGTGTAGTTATTCATGACTTCATGTAGATCCACTGGATACACTTAAGTCTGTGAGACCATTTCCACTGCTGATTGCTGCTGCCTACCTTTGAGATACTTGATGAAAGCTGGGTTCGTTAGCTCCCAGATTGTAGAAAGCATTGGTTTCTAGTGCTGGTAGCTTTTGAGATAGCATATATCCACATCAGGTGATGGGGAAGAAACAAGATGCTAATTAGAATGATTTGAATGTATGGCCTGTTGTCTCATAACTTACCCTAGACAGAAATGAAAACTTTAGACCCTAGCCTGCCTCTCCAGTGATGGAACACCACCACGTTCATTCCTAGCTCTAGTGGCTTATGAGATATTGGACTTAAACTGGCGCTGATCCCTAGGACTAGCAATGCTGCTTTTTTCCAGCTGAGCATAATAAATTCTAATCCTAAAACAAGTGTACCTGAAATCTTGCTATACATTTCTTATGCTTCTGTGCTGCGAAAGGTAGTTGCAACCACACTGGCGCAGAAAAGAGCATTTACTCCAACAACAACAAACAGCTATAGCAAACTTTAACCCAGGTAAATGGGACAGAGCAGCTCCTTATAGACCTTAAGCTAATGTTTTATAGCTGTATTTCTAGTTAATTTATTTCTGTTTGGGTTGGATTGTGACTCATATTGACCTCTTGGCTCTAGCATGGGATGAACTTGCTCTGTGGGATCTGAGGGTATGTTAGCTGAACGTTCCTTTGGGACTGAGTCAGTACGTTTTGAGTGACTCTGCCTTGGCTGTAGTGTAGCAAACAATGCTGATAATATTCAACTACATTTGCAGCTGCTGTCAGCCAGAGTTAATTAGACCAGACATGAATTAAAGCAACCTGGCAGCCAATAGCTAAACCCATTCATTACCTGAGTCCATTTCCCATGCTGCCTGTGCTTTTTGCTCTCTGGAACATGGGTAAGTAGTAGTTCATTTTTCTGCTGTTCTATCACTCATGTAAATTACTAGCAACACTTCTGGCCCTTTTGCACATTACATGGCAGATGCATTTTGTTTAACAAAATAATTACAACTGCCCTTTTCTGCTCAGTGCAGGGATTACTGGAACGTTACGGGGAAGGTGCTTAGGGTTTTTGTACTTGTGCACGTCACATTTGCATGCCAGCCTAACTAGTGCCTGCATTGCCTTTTCAATCTAAGTCATGCTAGGAAATAAAAAGCAAGGCAGCACAACAGTGATTCTGTCAAGTTGAAAAAACATCTGCATGTGTTGCTGACAGGAGTTGTTCAGTGCTTACCATCAGACTGAAATTAGCCGTGTTTCCATGCACACTTGCTGTTGCTAGACATGAGAGCTTTCCCTTTAGATAGGCAGCATTGAGTGTATGGACTGTGCTGTGCAAAGGGGGCACCTCCCAGTGGAAGAAGAGGAAAGACCTGGTGCCCCTTCCTACATGGAGAGCTCAGGAAAGCAGT